TAAAAAATTAATCTCTAGTTATTTGTACTTTTTTAATTTTTAATTTTAAAAAATGTGATAAAGATTTGTAATTTTTATTATACATTAATGCAAAAAATAACATAATTAATTATTTAATTTATAATTTATAATGCTAAAAATTTAATATTTAGAGTAATTATCATTATTTAAATAATAATTATATTTTTAATAAATTAATTATTTTTTAAATAAAAAATAAAAGATTAAACTTAAAATAATATAGTCAAATAATATCTCACTTTTTAAATTAACTTTTTAAAAGTTACAAAATGCAGTTATCAATTTTTCACGTTTGAACACAGTTAAAAAATTCTTTTTAAAAACACATTTGATCTGATAAAATAATATCAAATAACTTTTCACATTTCAAAAGTAAAATAACACTTTTAGAATATGAAAAGTAGATAAATCAAATGGTGCCTTAGTTTTTTTTTCTTTATTGTACTTTATTGTAAATCTAAATTGTTTAGATTAAATTTTAATTATATAAATAAATTTATACTTTTAAAAACTATCAAATCCAAGCTAATAATCTAGATTATTTATATAGTGGAGGGAAGCGAGGCCAACTCCAATTTCATTCAACCTAATGATCATTTGTCTATCAAACATTTCCAAACCATCTTGGTCCCTCACAGTCAATATTCTGTTCCCAACAAGCGCGTCCGTCTTATCACCATCACCTTTACAAGCACCGCACAAGTCTTGCTTTCATATTTTTGCAAGACTTGAATATTGTTCTTGATGAAGAAAATTAAACGAACCATATCAATTCGTTGCGATTGAAAATATACTTTTAGGTTTGATTTGATATCATTGGCATACGCTTGAAATTCTTTCTGGTCAAAATCATTAATTTATCTTTGAATTTAAAAAAAAATCCATGTTTTCATGTATAAATGTTTCCATATTTCATTTTCAACTTTGAATGTACTTTATGTTTAATTTGTTTAAGCATTAATTAAAAATGGGTTGGCACAACCCAAACTTATTTGGGACTATTTATGGTAAAGACTCACTTTACGCGCGCGCACAAGTTGTAAGCTATAACACGCCACTCATTTTCTCATATATACTTCATATAATATAGAAGAAAATTTGTTCTAAACTTTGACTTTGCATTAGGATTAAATTTTTTTTATATTATTCCCTCCAATCCTACAGAATTGAGAGAGTTGCTATGCTATTATTACCCAAAGTAAATGGGCAATTAACTTCACAATCATCTTATATATTCTTGATATTGAGGCAAACTGTTTTCCTTATATATTATTGATAGTGCGATTACACTATCATCCATTTTAGCGACCAATTTTAGAGGTCTTTTTCTTTTTTTTTTTCTTTTAACCATGATCATTAAAAGGGTCACATTTTGACTTGACCATGATCATTATTAGGAGGTCTCATGCCAAAAAAATATATATACAAATACAAAACACAACTTTTAAGTTCTCGAAATTTAACTCAATTTATAATCTGGTCTTTGTCCTTTAATTATAGTGGTATTAATCCTATCCTTATGGTTCAAATTGCCAAGTAAATGTTCCTCATACTTTGAATACATTCAAGTAAACGTTAATATATAGTTTCGAAACATCAAATGAATCTGTTCCCATGGTTAATATCATATTGAAAGTAATAGTCAACCAAAAAATATCTTATATACAAGTAAGTAGTTAACAAAACGATGAAGTGACTCCTCTTTTTTAGATTATACTGAGTCACTTGCTGTGATAGAAGATGTTAGTTATATAGTTTGAGTTGTGTAGGCTTACTCCATTTTTATCGATTATTTTATTTTTTGAGCAAATTTTATTTTACTTTACTACTTGAATAGTACTCCCTCCTACCCTATCACTATTGCAAAAAATGAAATTAACATCACTTTTTAATGTCAGTTATTACAAAAATTGATGTTAAAAAAAGATGGTGACATATTTGTAAATAAAGGGAGAGCATTTAACATCGGTTATTAAAAAAATTATAGTGAAAAAGTATTTAACGTCAGTTATTAAATACACTGATGTGGAAAACAAAGTTAAAAAAAAATACAAATAAAATTTTTCTTATTTCATGTCGGTTATTAACAATAACCGACGTGAAATAATATTAATTTTAAAAATAATTACTGTTAACATCAATTTTAAGGAAACCAACATTAAAATATTTATAATAAAAAAGTATTATTATTAATAATAATTGAAACCAAATCTGTTTCCAAAAATACCAACATGATTTCTCACAACTTTAAAAGCTGTGTTTTGCGTATTCAATGTAGAATATAGCAGATCTCCCATTTCAGTTTAGCGTTTTGGTTTAGCACTGAAAGGTCATGCCTTTTCCCTCCATTACGTCCGTCCAGAACTTCCAGCTACTGTGGGCCTGTTTGTTTGCTACTATGGGTCTGCCTTTCCCCTCCATTATAGCTTTCTCCCTCTTCCTTGTTCCTTCTTCCTTCTTCTTACTCCATTTTTACAGGTTAGAGATCTCTCTCTTTTTCTCCTCCTTTCTTCTTTCTTCTTCTTCTTCCATTGTTATTAAATACTCATCTATTTAAATAATTTTTGGTCTTTTATTGCTTTGAAGTTTTAGATTTCTTCTCTAGCCTTCCTTTTCCATTGTTGAAGATTTGAGTTTCATTTTCTTCTTTACACGTGAGGAGTTCCAAGTAAGTTTTATTTTTTCAAATTATTTTCTTTAATTTCTAAAATATTTATCTTAGATGAATAGATTTATATTGAAATTTTATGAATTTGTAACTATAAATGTTGATATTTTAAATTTGATATCGTTACTGAAATTTGTAATTTTTTTTGTTGTTGAAAATTTAAAATTTATTAACAAGGAGATCTCTAAAGATTTTATTAAAATTATAACATTTTGAGAGATCAGATTATTATTTATATAATTTAGAGAAATTTTATTATTATTTTTCTTATAAAATTTAGTAACAATTAAAAAAAAAAAAGGACGTAATGAACCAAACAAACGATAAAGAGCCGTTTTTAATGGGAAATTAGCCTGCGCTGTGAGCAGATGACATTTCCAGTCTGATAAAAAAAAAATTCAATTACTCTCTCTAATTTTATATTTTTTTTAAAAGGTTATATATTAAAAATATAAAGTACTTTTAATATTTTAAAATGTAACCATTATTATTTTTTTACAAAAATACTCTTAATGAATAAATCACTTTGTATTTATTTTAAATTAAAATATTTTATTAAATAGAAGTAAATATGAAAAGATAATGTTAGTTTAAAAATTAATAATTATTTTATTGGGAGTGAAATTCAATTAAAAATGTCTTATATTTTTAATGGAGGAGATATTTAATATTCATAAAAATAATGCACTTAAACTATGTAAATATGTTGCATATGTGAATGTGAAAACTTCACCACCATTATATATTAACGTAAATTTAGGGGAGAATAACTAATAACTGTTGGTTTGTTAAATTACAAAAATAATTTTATCGTTCACAGTTTTATTGACAACTATTAAATTGAGAAATATAATGATCATCAATAAGAATAATAGGGTTTTATTTGCAAATAAAGATAGGGTTAGTAATCGAATTCAAATTTAAATTGATCATAAAAAATTCAACGATTAATATCATGTACATTGTGTGTGTGTAGTTGTTATTAGGAGTGTTTAGCCTGGATCCGTCTCGATTAGTCTAGTATCATCTCGATATGATCAGGACAGGTCTTGTTCCGACCCGAAAATAATCGAAACGAAACTTTATGGGATGGGACAGGAAAGGAGTTCGAGACGAGATAAGACACAGGATTACCATCGAGATGTCCCGTCCCGTCCTGTCCCAAATATTATATATATTTTTATATTTTAAATATATTAATTATATTAATATAATTTATACTTATATTAATTACATCTATTATAATTTTAATACTTGCAATTCTTATTTAAAATTAAATTTTTTTATATTGATAATTTTAATGGCATGGAGTAAACATGGTGATATCTTTCTTTATAATATATTACTTATATTAATATAATTTATTCTTATATCTATCTATTTAATAACTTTTATTTATAACATATTTCTTGCTTATTTTTAGAAGAGTAATTAGCTTAGTAGATCTTCACTAAAGTAGAAGAATAATGATTTGATATTGTATTTGACTTGTCTGTTGTTGCTAATCTTATAGCATAAAGATCACTTGTATTTGTTATTATAATATGTAGTTGTGATTAATATAATTCAATAATTAATTTTAAATTATTGTTAGTTATGTGCCTGTGTTATTTTGATTTTAAACTTAATAAATTATATAATTTAAAATTTTAATGAATGTTATTATTCATATCTTTCTTCGATATTATTCCATTTATCAGGACGGCAGGACGTCTCGATCTTGTCCCAGTCCCATCCCGACTCTTAACAGGACGGGACGACTTTCGGGATGAGACGGGTCACGGGATTAAAATTTAGTTCCGATCTTTTTTTCGGGATGGGACACGGGATGGGGTGTCCCGGTCCTGTCTCATCCCATGAACACCCCTAATTGTTATGAAAGTAGAGATTGGAAGAAGAAGAAGAGATAAAACTGAAAAGAGAGAATGAAAGACTCCATATGTATAACAAAATTGATGTGCTGTATCAAAAATAAATTGGTGTGCATCCTATTTATAAGTATAAATATATCAATTAAATTAAATAAATATATATTAGATAATACTAACTGAAAATGTTAGAAAAATTGAAAAATATTAAAAACCTTCTCATATTTAACTGAGAATCTAAAATTTAAAAATTTAAACAAAATACTAACTGAGAATCTAAAATACAGGGACATCCACATAATCTTCCCATATTTATGACAATAACATTTTGTTTTTTGGGGCCAAAGATGACAATAATAAATTTATTCTCATATTAAAACCTGTCTGTATAAAATATATTGGGCCACGAAGATGGAAGAGCCGATTAGAAAACCTTTGATAAAGCCCAGCATGAACCGACATTCTCCTTCAAAACGTTTAGATGAAGTCAGTTTTGTCGAAAAGGTTCTTTTTAGTCTTTAAAACGAATTTCTCGAGTTAGTCGCACTTATTAGTTATTATCTTCTCCGTCAGGTCCGGGCGATTATCACTATTTGCAGGTTCTTTCCTTTTGTTTCACTGTATTATATTCTTTTTTGTTGGTAGACTTTTATGCGTGAAGATAAAAAAAAAAATAAAAATCGAAGGTAACATTTTGATTTGGTGTGTTTTCAATTGATGCTTGTCTTGTGCTTCTTTCATCTTCTTTTTAAAATATGATGGTGTTTTCCTTTTTATGCAATTCTTGTTTCCTTTAAGTATTATGTTTCTTCTTCCTTTGTATCTTGATTTGAATGCGATGGAATTATGTGTTTGACTTCTGGGAAAAGGTGGCCGCAGACATGGACGTTTCTTGTTTTGTTGATCGGGGTTGATTGTATATTAGAAATTGAAATTTTCTTATCGCTGAACCAAATTTTTAACGTCTCTGTTTACTTGCATTGCTTTCCCATCTTGCATTGTCATCTTGGTGTTTCCATCATTTTCTCAGCGGAACCAGTGGTTCTCGAATTGTCTTTTGCATTGTGATTAAATATGGAAATCCCTTTGTTACTCAAAAATTCCTTCCCACTTTTCAGAAAACATTTTTATATTTCTGGTGATCCTGGATTTTATGGAGATCTCTGCTTATCTTATCATGTGCTGTATCCATTGCAATATTTTCATCTGAAGTGGCTAAATTGCTTGAATGTCAAAATAAAAAAGAAAGAAAGAATACCTCGGGTTTGGTTTCTCTCTATGGAATTCTTTGGCTGGTCCTAATTTATTATTGTTCAACTAGGAGACTATGCCCTGTAATTCCCAGTGCATTTTAGTAACGAAGACCTTTGTTAATTGGTTTTTGTTTGAAACTGATAATTTACTCTGTGTCTTATTAATTCAACAGCTAATTGTAGCCATCTTTTCATCATGAAAACGCTGATGTCAACGAGTAATACTGCTGCGTCCCCTCTATTACCCGCAGGTACATGAATTGTGGATAGCTAGTTTTATAAGATAACTAGAGCGGCCATTGTGTATTTCCATGAAGTCCAAGATGAGCCAAACAATTGACAACTTTTGAACAATGAGGCTCCATACAACTTCCATGGACATGTTGATGTTGATGTTGTCACTCAAAAACATGTTGATGACAAAATACATTAAAAAATCCCCCACCATCTCCATTTTCAATACATACTATGAACTCAAGCTTCTCAACACTTAAGAAAATGTCTTCATTTTTATTTATGTATTTTTATGCAGTTAGAAGAAGAGGTCGGTATGAAAAAGAAGCTGATTATACTGGACCTAACCTAGTTTGTATGCAAGCCTTGCCATGTAATATAAGAAGAGGAAAACTTCGAATTGGTAGATCTCAAACTCTGTCATGTCATATGAGATGTGCTGCTGCTTTGGTAAGCTACATTTTTCTTTCTTGTGTGTTGATTAGTGATTTGCTCTTCATTGTACTATATTTTGATTTTTTTTTTTTTCTATCAATCGGTTTGAAAGGTTCTTTGGCCAAGTATTGATTAGAAAGTTCAAGTGTTTTATTATAATGAATGAGAAGATATTACTTATTCAAAGATATGATATTATTATATAATGGCTAATTATTCTTTCATGGAGAGATGATGATTGTTGCTGTTTTGCATCAAGTGATGTCCTGCATTAAATTAAGTTTAATGAATGTTTATATTAAATTAAATTTGGGTCTTTGCATTGCATGGAGTCTGAGAAATGAGTCACACCACTATTTGCAGCTTATGATTGGTGTGGCTTATTAGAATTTTTATTCTTATAATTACAATGATGATATTGATGATTCTGTGAATTTTATGTCAGTTGTGTTGTTCTTTTCGTACTTGATTTTAGGTGTTTTAGGTGTTTTTTAACCATCTAATGCTGATAGTTTATCTTGACGCTTATTATATTTTCTGCTGTCTATAAACGATCAAGAATAGAACCATGGCCAGTGAGTCATTTCTGGTAATTGTTTATTTCTCAATATTTTGATGTCCTTTTTTTATGCTTCTTGTAGAATGCTACATGTGCAGCTGCTCTAACCCAAACTGTAACACGTGAGTCTCAGACAGTTACACTTACCCCTGGTAATGACCTTACTCTGTTATCAATTTATAACAAGCAACATTGATTTGGTGGATATACATTGTGGCTAACTCTAATTTCTAACTTGTATCTAGTTTTGGGCCTTGAGATGAATTGGACATTTATAATGGAATGCCTTTTAACCGTGTGAATTTGTAATTTACTTCCAGCCTATTTTTTTACATTTTTCCTGGTAGGTAAAAGTGGTAATGAGGATAGAACATTCGCATGATGGGTTAAGGTGCCGTTAGCATGCTCAGGCTTGCAATTCTTCCTGCCTTACTTTCCAGTATTTTAACGTTTTAGTTTCAAACCTGTCATTGTTTTCCTGTTGATCCCTTCTCCTTTCTGTCTCATGGGTTTGTTTCTCTGTCTTTAAATTGAAGGTTTCCTTCCCTGATGCACTTCTCTGTTTCTTAACGAGATATGCTATATGGAAGTTTGAAAGCCGCTAACCCTTCTGAAGAATGAATAGAAGTCTCTATATTGTTGAGCGGTGAAACATGTGCAAAGATTAAATGAATCTTTTATTTTAAATAGAAGTTTTAATAACTGAAGTAAAAAATTACTTTGTTTTTAGAATGATAAAACGGAAATCTTAACTGGGTTTAAAGGTCATTTTATGCAACATGATTGCTTTTATTCAACCATTGAGTTTTAATTAAAAAACATTTGCTTGTTTAAATTTGAGTTTTATGAGAGGAGATATTAAACTACTGCTTATAGACCCAGGGAGTAAGTGTCACATATAATCTGAGATAATGAAAATGTCCTATGATACTTTTTACACCGTCATTATGCATGACATTATCTGCTAGAACACTTCCGTTGTCATATTTTCCAACAATAGATAATGATTGTGAAATCTCAGGTAAAGCAAAGACGCCTCAGCTGGACGACAACGGACCTGGACTGCCGCCATATAGAGATGATGGCAACGGAGGTAACGGTGGAGGTGGCAGCGGCAAGTTTTCAGGTGGGTTAGTCCTTTTGGGGATTCTTGGTGTCTTGGACGTTTTGAAGGAGGTGGAGAACGAGTGGCGTCGCAAGGGTGATGGTGGGAGAAAATGAGGCAAGAAACTGTTTTAGTCCCAAGAGACTGATTATTAGGCCGTCATTGCCCTCCTGATTGATGTACATTTTCTGAGGAATTTTTCTTAGAGGAAATAACCAATGCTATTGCTAGGTAATTGATTGGTAGTGTGTTTGTGATAGGTCTTTCTTTTCTGATTTAGTGTAGAGGGATATGCTCTAAGCCTCTGTGATAGGTTTTTTCTATCACACGCTTGTATACTCGCGCATGTAAAATTAATTTTAAATTTCTATAGGACGAATTATTGCCTCCGGAAAATTAAAATTATACCTAAATTTAAGGGTTGAAAATGAAGCCTCAAATAATAAAAAATATTGAAAGCTCTTTGTTGCCTAAATAAAAAAGTACAAAGACTCATGCGTATAAAGCCCGCTATTATATAGGAAGAATGATAGTTAGGTTTTATAATAAGTATAAGTAATGGTTAGATTTTCTAATAAACTTTTTAAAAATAAGTTGTAAATATCAATTTAAATAATAAAAAATTTAAAATTTTAATTATGAATAGAATATTAAAATTTTAGATGCAATTTTAATTCATGCATGCAAGTGTGAGAATAAACTTTTGTAACTCATTTTTAAAAGAAAATATTTTTTCGAGGACCTGTCATCAATTTGATTTTACAGAACATTGCTATCAGTCTCCATCATATATTCTAGAAAACTTATAACTCGTTAATTAGAGAGAACCATAATAAATTTTGCTACCCCAGAGCACCCGCCTTTTCAGACTAAGAGATCGAACAGTAATAATTATTTAAACCTCATCAGTCATACATCACTTGAAACTCTGGTCTTGACCAAAAACTGGACAGAAATTAACAGTTAAAAGATTTGCACTCAATGCATTTTAGTAACGTGCTAGGACTGACTGAACTTAATTCAAAGAGACGCTGAGAGAAGTGAAAGAAAGCAAATTCAATCATTGAGCATATGTCCTGCTTTCGGCTCGAGTTTTTTCCCCCTTCTTGGTCTTCCTAATGGACAAATAAAATAAACTCAATTTCAAGTACTCTACATGCACAATGAACTATCCAGGGCACCAAAAGATCCATGATTACAGGCAACTTCCCAAATGGAGGCCAGCAATATGACCAACCACCAATATGATTTCCACCCTTGCCAAGAGCTTGATGCTGCCGCTGCTACTAAATCTGCTGTCTAATAATCCAGAAAGATCAAAATTTCTCTGAATTACACTTCCACCACCTTCAGATACATTGGATTATAATAACCTACAAAACCATTCTATTCCTAACTTTACACCTAACCAGAAGATATCAGGTCAGACATGACGTCCTGAGACTAGATGCGTATGTGCATATTGATACAAAACAGTTTAATGACACATGAATGTCTTATCTCAATTGAGTGACTTTACATAGTGCCCAGTTTTCCGCCTGTGCCTACTGAAATCAGAAACAAATCTGAAAGAAAGGCCACACCCCTCAACCTTGCAGTGGTATGGCTTTTCCCCAGTATGCACCCGTATATGCTCGGTCCTGGCCCATGCCCACTTGAATGACATTGAGCAACCTTCCCATGGGCACTTGAGGGGCCTATCATCATCATGGACACGCTGGTGAAGCACAGCATATTTGTGCGATCTGAACTTCTTTCCACACCCATCATGAGGGCAGCGGTTGCGCTTGTGTAACATTAACTCTGCCTTGGTTGCGAAACTCATATGGCAACCATCAAGGTCACACTTGTGAGACCTCTTAACAGAACCCTTATTCTTGCTAGACACCACAACATCTGATGATTTCCTAGCCCTCTTAAACTCTGGATTTTCCCCCATAGAATTGCTAGTTTCAGCCATGCTTCCACAAGAAGCTACCTTACTAGCCCTCGGTCTCAACCCTTCACATGGACTTCTGACAAAGCCATGGAAGTTTATATTGTCCTCTTGTATCTGTTCCAATTCCCTGTTTCTTTTCTTTTGGGTATTTGACCAAAGACCTGGCGTACTTTCAGAGCTTGTAAGCTCCCCATAGTCCTGTGAAAAATGAACTTTGCTTTCATTTAAGTTGTCTTTGGCACATTTCTCTCCCTCACTTGCAGAACACTCCTGGATTGACACAGAAGAGTCCTTTAATGATGGGTGGGCACCAGTACCAGAGCAGATTTCCTCATCATTCATGCTGCTTGGCTGGATTTCCAGTTCTTTTCTCACATCTGAAATAAACTGAGGGCTGGAGTCTGCAGGGGCACAAAGCTCTTTTGGAACTTCATGAGCATCAATGTTAGAAGTCTGCTCATTTATTGATTTATCACAATTTACAGTAAGTTCTTTGTTGCTTGCATTCAAATTAGAAGTTTCCACTGTCTCTTTCAAGGATGCACCAAAGCTCATGCTTTCAGTGCTATGACTCTTTCTAGCACTATCAGAATTTTCTTCCACGATGGCCTGTGTCTGCTCAGTTACTGATGAAACAGGAGATGAAGTAGCTTCCACCTTGTTACTCTTGTCGGTAGAATCAAATTCTTGATGTACTTCACAGACATATAGGCTATTGCTATAACTGGTGTTAATTGCTTCTGTGACAAGGTCCTCAGTTCGCATGTCAATGTTTTTGTCTTTAGCAACAGTAAGTGAGCTAGAATTTATCTTGTCATCAGAAATCTCATGGTCCTTACTACCGATTTCTGAGGAGCCCATCTTGCAGGGCACCTTAGAATGATCAGGTGTTGTGCAACTACTTTTGCCATCTATTATCAATTCCTCTGTAGTTTGATTATGGACCTCTGGTCCAGTATTTTCATCCACCGACATAGGTTCCAGATTGAAATTTGAAGGTCGTGAAGAAGCAGCTTTCAAACTCAGACTAGTGGTCATTTCAGTAAGATGGTTTTCAGGTTGCAAGACACATGACAATGGACAATCACTCCTAGAATTCTCGGTGCCAGGCTCATTTTCAGAAACCTGGTTACCAGAATCTCCACTCAAGAAAGCTGGCATATTTATGGACTCTTTATGAGGTGCATGGACCATGTTTGATCCAGGGAAACAACCTTGCTTTGACCTGAACTTTCTCCTTGAATATTGAAGCATCTTTTTAGCAGTGGAGCCATCTGTCTTTACTTCCAACTGATCATCCTCCTTTCTCTGAATCTCATCACATGCTTTTGCCTGAGCTAAATACTTCAATCTTCTGGAGCGAAATCTCTTTGATTGCCAATTTACAGATAAGACATCTGAATCAGGAAATTTCTCAGGGAACAGCATTCCTAGTGCCAATTTGAAAGGAGCTTGTTTATATGGAGAGTTCTTTCTTGCATTGACACAATACCGCAGGTTAATTCCTAGTTTAGCTGTCCAGTCTTCTTCACATTCATCGTGTTCTTCACTGTCAATTGCAAGATCTATCAAAGTCAAATCTTCAGGGGATGCAGTATCTAACGGAACTTCATTATAATCAAAAGAGCAGCCTATCTCCTCTGCTACTGCCCTGGCATGTGCCTTTATTTTCTGGTAGTCTGGAAAAAAAATGCAGAAGACTAATCAGGAAAAAAATGACAAAGCAAAATCTGCAATCTACATTTTTTTTTTCCTTCTTGTTTTCATCAATTCAGACCGTGCCAGCTGATTTTGGCAACCTTGCTGGGCCTTTCCTAGTCACATTAATGCTGCGAAAAATGGATCTCTTCTGTCTAAAAGCCATAAACCTGGCCCTGATGGTGATATAAGAAGGGGCCACATGCAACTGGGCAGATAGAGATAAATTATGATAAAAGCCAATGGAAACTGGGTACACAAACCTGAATGGCAAATGACAAGCACGCTAGCTCCACCTTTACACTGCAGCATCTCAATAATCTGAGCAGCATGCTCCAGGCAGAAAATTCGTGGCCTCAAAAATTTACAAGAGGTGTTCCAACCCTTGTCACAGTTCATTAATGATAGTTTTGATGGTTCATTCGTTAAAGTTAGATCAATAACAGAGAGAGCATTCCCTGCAGAACAAATAATACAGTTTTGCATTTCAACATTTCTAAGGACCATCTTCTTGACAATGTACAAATAGCTTCAATCATATGAAGATATGACAATAAAAGGGGATTCAAATTTTATGCTGAGATCAAAACCTTCAGCATCTCAACATGAACAGTAATAAAATGTGTTTATTAATTTGGAAAATCTTGGTCTCTCAGCTTCATTAAATTCTACGACAGGGAAAACAACTAGAAAGAATAATGAGCAAGAGTGAACATAGTAGTTTTATAACCATCTAACACAATATTTGGGTTAAAGTTATTTAGGTCGCCGAATACAGGAGCCAAACTGTATATAACAATCAGTTATCATTAATCAAATAATATCCAACGATTTGCACAGGAAGGTCAAAAACAAGGCTTTTGGTCATTTGAAAGAGCTCCACCACCCTCTTGATCAAATAATGTCTTCTTAGTTCATGATGACTGTCATGCTCAATTTGCCATGTGAGACCCAAAAAAAAACCCATAAAAGGAACTACATATAAAAATGCTATAAAGAAAAAAGACAAAATGACAAGATAAAGACCATTATTACCTGAGACCGGCAAAAGTTCCATTGCTGATCTCTCCGATGGTTGTACCACAGTCATGAATGGAAAACCAAGAATTCCACAACCCACACAAGCCAATGCTCCTGAATCAGTTTGGAAGTGACATGGAAGACTGTCATCACCCATATAAAAATCAGTCAGATTCTCCAAATACAAGCTCATTTCATCAAACAGACAACTGTGGTTGCTCTTATCTGCAGAAAACAAATTTGACATGTTGTCTGCCATAAAGCTTCCAGTTGTAGAAGTCAAGTCAGGCAACTGAGAATCCTTGCTTGAATCTGGGAGTAAATCAGCATTCCATAAAACAGCATGATAAGTTGATTGCTTTCCAAGTAGAATGGATAGCAGATTGTTTTCTTGCAGCATATCTTCTATAAAAGATCTTTTTACTAACAATTCTCTTTCTTCTTTCTGGCGGTCTCTTAGACGGGAACTTCGGACACCTGGCAATAATGTTCTTGGGACTCTACCAAATGTATCCATGAGATAGCCAGCAGGAATGGGAAGGGAAAAAAGAAATCATTAGATGGCCCCTTGATTTCTTCTTGAACAACAGTTAAATCTATATTGCACAATCGTGTGAATGTAAGACAGAACAATGTTTGAGATATCAATCCAAGGAGTGTAGACAGAGATCCATAGAAGGAGCAACCGTAAAAGGAATTCAATTAAAGATCAGATTTAACTATTTGTCACATTTTCCATCTAAAATATCTTCCTTCATAACTTTGGCCAACAATTTAAAACAGCTCACCAAAGCCTAAACCAACATTTCAACTTCCAATTTTATTTATTAGAGCCCCAAAATATATCTATTTTGAATAAAAAATGCCTATGGTCTTATGTAATTAATTCAGCTCAGAACGCAGTTTGAAACATTAGGTTTCTAGTTACTAGCAGCGCAGCAATATTAAAGCCAATCATCAACCATATAATTTACTGATAAACAAGAAAAGAAAAATAGCAAGTTTTTGTAAGAATAAGTGGCTGGAGGATTTATAATGAGGATGATTAGCCTCACCTTGAAACAAAAGACATGGTCAGTAAGTAAAGCAGTTGCTGATGAGAAAGCATGGGAAGATAATTCATTGCAGCCCTACGCACTGCAGCTTCCTTGGCTACTGCGAGCCATTGTGGAGTTCCAAAGTTAGCAGCTTCCCCACAGTTAAAACCTAAATAGAAACATACGTTTATCTTAGCAAATGAGATTCTCTACGAAAATTTCAGATGGCATTCTCTGGTAAAAGATATTGAAATTGTTGTTAAACAAAAAGATTTCCAACCAACTTAAATTAATACAAACAATCACCTGCTTGAGAAAGGGCATAAGAGTGTTCATTCTAGGACTCCATACAGGCCAAACGTTTCAACATAAATCAAAAGAAGAAAGAATTGCCTTGATGTTCCTTTTTTCAATTATAAAAAGGGTATGGTGAGTTCTGAAATTTTACCATCTTCACCCATTATGAATGAAACATCAACCACTATGGTCCTCAATAATAAGCACATATTTGCTCAAAAAAAAAAAACACATAATTTCTCCATGTACAATGAATTGGAAGCCATATTATAGAAGGGCTCATCTGACCAATCCTTTTATAGACTATGCATAAATGCAACATCCTTTAAATGTAAAAAATTTGAAAGCAATTACCATGGCTGAATCCTACATGATAAGCCCTTGGAAAGGTCACAACAAATTCTCCAGGGTTCTGCGTCAACCTAATGGAAAAACCAGGACATGTATGAACAGAACTTCAACAATGACATTAAGCGGAAGAAAAATTTGCCAAACATTACAAGATCACAACCACTCACCCTAGTTAGATAAAAGAAATCAACAAGTGTTTTCACATCTTCACCATAAATGAGGTAAGAAACAAATAAACGTGTTCAATTTTACCAGTAAGCGCTTATGTACTTCATATACGTATCTGGAGGCAAAATTACATTGATTTTCATGCATTTCAGCATAGGCCGGAAGGGAAATTTCTCATCAAGCTTCATGTGCAAGCTAATAGCACTTACCGTAAGCTGGCTCAAGCATGTACAAGATTGTTTATATTTATATGTACTTATTGCAGTATATACGCACTAAGAAAATTAGCCTGTCCAATTAGAGTGAATAATAATTTTAACTGATCAGTAAAATAGATGGAGTGAATACATATCAACAATATCAACCAACTCACCTGCAACAAGGGATCCCAGATGCAACAACTGCCTCCGGTGATAGAAGGGTTGTCTTCTCCCCCAATAGTGTCAGAGCAGCTGGAAAGAAAGGAAAGTGTATGAGCAGAAAATGTGACACCCAAGGTTACAATAGAGAAAAAAATTAGAATATGTTAATTTGATTAAATAATTTACAGTATCAGTATAAAATCCTTTTTCCTCTTATTATGAGAATAAAGCAAAATAATTTCTGAGATTTTTGTGACATATCCTAATTTCAGGTACTTGTAGTCCTATAAATTTTATCATGAAATTAATTTCCTCCATGCATAACTCATAATATACTGTTGGAAATCTCTTCAAGTGTGCTCAAATTTTGTCTCCTCAAACACTTATTTCATCTGTTTCATGACCCACATTGACTTTCGTAATGTCACAGCAATGCTAGCATAAAACATTTTCCACACAATGGATGTTTACTTTAGATGAAGTAAACCTTTGATGAACTAAATTCAGTTTTGATTCTGCATTGAACCTTGAAAGCTACCCATAACTGCAGTGTACATCAGTAATAATCGTACAAATAATAACCAATATAACAAATTTCAACCAAAACTCACTTTTACTCCAATAATGATCCTAACTTAAATTTCAATCATAGATTTAATGTAACATAACATTGTTGATAAGGTAGCATACAAACACAAGGTGGCCCAAAATGCTGGCAAACAGTGTGAAAACTAATACAATAGATACATGATATATTTTCTGAAAATGCCAAACATGTAGATTATAATTGATCCTGAAGTTTACTTTCATAAACATGAAAGAACTAACTGGTGCATTTTGCCAATAGATTAGGCAAAATCAGCAAATGCTTCTTGAACCTTTGGTGCCAAAATTCCCAAGAACATTCATAATAAAATAATTTGCATACCTAAGTGGTCAACATTACCACCATAAGCCTCAGTGCGGACGAGTTGCTCAAAAGCAAAGGCATAATCTCCAGGAACAGCATACCAGGTCTTTGACGAGCCAATGTGAAGAAAATTCATGCTGTGAAGTTCATGATCCTCTACATGCCAAGCAAACCAACTGAACAGCATGCCAATGTATACCATGGGGGAAGTAACACCAGGAATATCATCCGGCATGAAACGAGTTATCGAGCCCTGTGAACGTGCAATAACTTGTAAGTTCCAAGGACTGTTTGAAAGCTTCCAACCAGCAGTACCTTCCATCTCATTGCTGGAATCAGAACTCTTCTGCCTAATTGAATTTAGGACTTCATTTGGTGAAAATGTTGACAGAGTTGAAGTTGAATTTGATGTCTGTGACCATGTGTCAGCATGATTATGGGCAGAAGCATCCTTACTTTCAACAGTCTGGGCATCTCTTATACTTTCCATTTTGGGTTCTTGGCAGTCCTTGGCATCTAGACTCCTTTGATAATAAGCCTTTTTCCTTCTCCTCCTATGAATATAACGAAATTGACCCTTGGATTCTCCAAAAGCAGACCCAGGCATGTCATTGGCATACTCCACATATATAGGCTTCTCTGAAGCTGCCTTCCAAAACATAGCCTCTATAACCAGAGGAGAAACCTCCTTAACCATACCTAGCACACTTCTTGCAAAAGCCTTTGATTTAGACTCAAACTGTTCAAGTGTATAAATTTCCCCACTCTGCCACACTTGCTTATGAACACCTGAAATTGGGATTTGAATTGTTCCTTTGGTTCTTTTAATACTCTGCCCCAGTTCTTGATGCCTTGTGGTAAACACAGCCCGTGCCTCCCCATCATTACCACTATCCCCAGAAACCATTTTCAAACAATTACTAACTCCAACTGAATTAATGTCTGACGCCAATTCCGGGCTCTTCAAAAGAGACTTGTTCAAATTCGAGAAGACATATCTTTTTGAAGGCTTCGGTAATGGTGGAATAATCTTACATATGCCAAAGGCGCTAGCTTCTTTCTCAATCTTTGAAATGTAAGCAATTGGGTCGGCGAATTCGGTATCAGTTGGGCGAAATTCAGGAGCCAATGGCAAGGCTTTTAGCCAATTGGGAATTTCAACATCACCCATTGCATGTAAGAAAGAAAAAAGAATGTATATTCACAACAACAATACAACAGAGAGACCAGCAAGCTATTCTACTCTTCGAATTGGCATTGTCCAATACAGAAAGAAGAAAGCGTGAGGTTAAGAGGAAGATTTAAAAACCCTAGATTAGAAAGTGCGTGTGATGATTTGCAAGGTTTTAGTAATAATTGAGACCCCATGAAGCTGAAGAACAGAGTAAAGAGGGAAATGCAAGGGCGAATTGAGGCAAGAAAAGAGATACAGAACCTGTAACAGAAAGGCACTGTGTATGATTGGCCTTCAAAAGCACCGTGGAGTGTTGGGGGCAGAGAGAGAAGGGGGGGTGGGGGGGTGCCGGGTGGTTTGTCTAGGTCTTGAGTGAAGTTGATCACGTGCGTAAGATAGCAAGTTCTACGTCGATTGAGCTAACATGCGCACAATTGGCGCCTTGCGTTATCCATTTTTGTTTTTAATTTCAACTGATTAACCGAATATGCATTGCATTAAAACACATAATAAGGATTCATAAAATTTTATTCAGCCAACGTAAGAATACATAAGGTGAAAGGATAAATTAATGAACCAATATCATCTATCTAATAAACAAATGCATAGATAATCGTATTACTCAAGAGTCATGTATTATTATTGTGACATGTACAACTAACAAGTTATTTCAAATTCCACAAAAACATGCTAGACTTACTCGGCTTTTGTTTTTAAAGTAAGGCAAATAAAATACAAGTCGAAAATTAACAGTCCGTAGAGAAATTTATGCTAAAAAAATATGGAACCATATTTAGATGTTAAGATGCTATGAGATGGAAAAAGACTCATCAAATGGTGGACGTCATTAGCAACAGAGTCCTTTGTTGCTAAAAAGAATAATCAGAATAAAATGCAATAAAGAAACAAAGACAAAAATAAAATAATCAATATGTGGAGGAAAAATATGTCAATCATATTTATGAGAGAAAAAATAATTTAGTTCATATTGAAAATCATTATTCATGAGTTTAGTAGAAGGCATAGTAATTCTCATATTTATTGTACGTAATATCAGACTTCATCTTGTCTATTGTGATGAGGAGGATAATTTACTTTATTTTTTAGCAAATTTTATTATTATTCTTTTTAGTAATCAAACAATTTCTTATCAACAAAGCTATTAAAAAAGTTTGTGGAGATGATTTTTTTTTTTTCATGAAATGAATTGTAGGTTTTCATAGTGAGATTGTTTTATTTCCTCTCATTGGGCTTCCTTATAGGAGCTTTTCTCTATCCATTAGTGGGAGTTCTTTTCTATGATCTTTGTTCTCCAGTGCCTTTCTTGCTGGCTTCTACTGTGAGAGAGGTGTTTGACGTAGGTGAGTGTATGGTTGATTTTCTATCTTTTTATGTTGGGGTGTGTTATTTCTTTCTTCAATCTGAGTTGCTAAGAAGAGAATGTGGGTTCAATTGGTGAGGGAAAGATTGTCTATCCAAAGGATTGACACTTTGCATAATGGTTAATCATGGTTTTTTTAGTCTGGATCTTGATAATTTTGATTTGTTATTGGGGTCTCGGCTTAGGCTTTTCAATTCAATAGGTAGTGGTTTGCGACAGAGATGGAGGTGCTTTTTTATTATGCTAGTAGCTGGTTTGTTATCATTACTGATAGTTTAGGTTCTCTCTACGTGGAATCTAATGTGTGGAGGTGGTAAATCTATTATTTGAATAATAGTTATTGTTTACTTAGGGATGGGACTGTTACGATGGTTCTATGGACCCTCATCCTTATTTTTTGTTGTGATTTCTAGTCTGTAGGAATTTTCACAACAACGACATTATTTCTTGCTCTCTAGTTCTGTTTTAAGACTTGAGATGATTTTAGTGTGTCTTTTTTCCTTTCTTTGTGCCAATTTGTATTGGTTTAGGGGTTTTTTTTGTGTTGTCTCTCTCTTTTGTATTTTATTCATTGTACCTTATTTGTTTTTTGTAAACCCCACAATTTTCAATGATATTTCATGTTTCTAGCAAAAAAGAAAAAAAAATTGTGAGGTTGTTGACTCACTCAACTTAAGCTCTTAAAATAACCCATCATGGTATAAGAACCTTCCTTGTAATACTAAATTATTGAGCAAGTCATGGGTATTTTTAAAGTTGCTTTGTCAAAAGAGAAAAAGTTAGACTTGTGTATAATTTTATTAATTATTTTTATATTAAATATAATAAAAAATGATTTTATATTAAAATAAATAATTTATAATTTATTTAAATATTAAACTATGCACTCTAAACATATATACTTATCGTGCTATTATTTAAAAAAAATAGAAACATTAGTCTATCAATCTTCATATTTTATAATGTATTTTTTTTCAAGGAAGGGAGATCCAAAAAGGATCAATCATTACATGAATGAGTTTGTCCAATGCCTAAAGTATCGTCTTCCAAAAGCAAAGTCAAACCTTTATGTGGTTGCTGCAAATAGTACTACCTAATGTTTGAGTTAAGTGCATAAATGGCTAAGGGTGGAAGTAGCCCAGGCTGCTATTAAGGGCCTATAAGCTAGCCTACTTCAAGTTAGGCCAATCCTATTTACTAAATAGGCTAGGTCAAGTTTAGGCTTTTGATTAAACCTATTTAGATAAATGTGATCACAAAGGCCCTTAGGAAGTTTGGTGGTTTGCATACCATAAAGGGAGAGAGCTTATAAAACAAATTGTGCAAGGATTCTTTACCCAGCTAAAGATAGCATTCTAGCAACCCATCCACAAAGTCATTGTCTTACCTTCTCCTTGATGTAACTATAAATATCAATTTTAACTCTCTTATGTAAAAACAAAACTCCCAGATATTTATCTAGATCATTCACCTTGGAAAAACCCAATTTAGAAGTACACCAATCAACATCTCTATCAAGGACATTATGGGAAATATATATTTGGGTTTTGCTATTACTAACCTTGTACCAAACTAATAAAAAAATCACCTAAAATTTTGCTTGATAAAATGAATTTGAGATTTTTCTATAGAGCTAAAAAGTACCAAGTCATCCATAAAGAATAGATAGGATACAAGAGGCCTAAATCTATCTAGTCAAATCGACTTCCATAGCCTACTATCAACTACACTACTAATAGCTTATGAGAGTCTTTCTATACACAACACAAAGATATTGAGCGAGAGGGGGTTACCTAGTCATATACCTCGAGAAGGTAATAATTCTGCAATTTGTTAGTCATTCTAAAGCACTCTCATTTTATAAGTCATGATACAAACCATGATAGCTTTTATATATTTCTTAAGGAGCCCCACATTAATAAGAGTATCTTCAATAAAATCCCATCTTAGCCAATTATACACTTTTTCAAGATCAACCTTGATAGCCATCCACCTTGTGCCCCATCTCTTATTTCTTATAAAATGAATGACCTCTTATGCAATAATAATATTGTCAAAAATTTGATGCCTTGCAATAAAACTTAATTGATTTGGGAGAACCATTCTAGGCAGAATTTTTTTAAGCCGATTAGCAAGGACTTAAGTAATAATCTTGTAGAGAATAGTGCAAAGGCTTTTACATCTAAACTCTTTCATGCATTTCAGATTGTCAACTTTGGAAATCATAGTTATAAGAGTTTCATTCAAGTTTGGCTCTAAGTACTCTTCTTCAAAACCTACATTAACTATAGAATAAATAGAAGGACCCACCATATCCCAATGATTTTTAAAGAAATTTATGTGAATTCCATCAATACCTAGAGCTTTTAGAGACTTCATGTAACATCCTAAGTTTCCCCATTAGTAATTATCAGTGTTTTCAAGGTTAATTTGGTCAATTTAGATAAATCATTGATTAATGAGGTTTATGGGAGACTAATATGTTTTTGAATCCTTAGACAGCCTTAGAAGAGGGCTAGGTCAATATTCAAGTAGGTCATGGCACGGAAGGGAGTTCAAAATTTTGTGGGATTTTCTGTGCCATGCACTGTGTTGAGCATGTCAACACACTGCGGGGCACGTGCAAAATCTGCACTTATCAGACACAAAAAATAGGTCAGAAATAGAAGGCAGAAAGAGGGATAATGAGAGAGCGATGGAGAAAAGCTTGTGGTCTATTAGGGCACGATCCTTAGGCTATTTTGGAGGCATTTGGAGCTTGAATCACCGTTGGGTAAGTTACACATTCCCTCTTCTCCCTCATTTATATGAAAATATAGACACTTAGGGCAATAGGGGCTTTAATTTTAGTTTTCTTGGGTTTAGACCAAACCCATTAGTTTATTTAAAGTCTTGAAGAGTTAAATCAATCCTCTAACCCTAAATTTATGAGTTTTGTGGTGATTAAAAATTTTTGGTAAGGGTTTGGACGAACCCTAAGTATAATTCGAGGATTTTGAAATAATGTGGGACATTGGTTAGTGAATTTAGTGTGTTGGGATGTTTAATAGGATGGTTAGAGTATTTGAGAATGGTTGATGTTATGAGAAAAGGAAATTAGGTGTTATAGGCACTTAGAACCTAGTCAATTCAGAGTTAACTGAAGTAATAATTGATGATTGTCACTTAATTGTATGGATTGAGCGGTGCTTGAGCTTTATCGTGCGTATAGAATATGTGGAGCTAATGTTGAGCCACGGTAACCCTTTTGTGTGACAAAAGGTTGAGGTAACCATATAATTTATTGTGTTTATTAACTATTATAACTGTATAGAAGTAAATACAAATGATAAAGTGGTGGTTTTGAATAGTTTTTGCATAATTTAATATTGTAAATGATTTTAACATGAAAATTGATATGTAAAAGACTATTGATTTTGATTGATATATATATATATATATATTATGTATATAAGTTTGTGATGTAAAAACGTGAAAAAAGTAGTGAAAATTTATGAAAGAGCATGATCATGGGGGTGGAAGTTCACCCGAGATATGTAGGGATACGTGTGTATGGAGAAATGCGAGTGAAAAATTCATATAGTCAGGGTGGCATCACAGGACATCTGATGCAACATTATATGCGACTATTACTATGGGACATCCGGGCAACCTGCCAACTCCTTAGTACCTGTTAGGGTGCGGTTAAAAGTCAACAATGCCTTCATCACAAGTGTGCAAAAAGGGAAAAACCATAGTCTGTAAGTGGATTAGACTACCTTTGATCGGGTGTTTCTACCACTGAAAGTGTGCTCGAGTCAATAAGTGATTGATTTAGGAGAGCCTATGGTTTCATGTTGGGGAGCATTGAAGGTTCGGTGGTTAAATGATCATACTAGTGTGAAATTATGTGAATTTGTTGTGAAAAGATGCACTTATCTTATAAATGTGGTACAC